AAGTAGAAAACTCCACAGCTGACTTCATATGAGAGGCTACAGTCAAAACATGGACAGTAAAATGATCACAAAAAATGACCTTTAGGCTATGTGTCAAAGGTGTATATGAAATATAAATGAGTTTTGTGTTTAGACTTGGGGCCCATCTTTGAGATAACTCATTATGTGTGTATACACAAATGTCCCAAAATCTGCAACCCAAAATACTTGTCATCCCAAGCACTTCAGATAAAGGATACTCAACCTGTACCTGGCTCACAGAGTTATCATTAGGATTATATAAGACAAAGCATGTAAATCACTTCCTATCTGGCACATAGTAAAGACTAAAGATATCTCAGCAATTTTTATTAACAGTGTTAAGTTGGAGATTCACAGCAGTGACTCTTGGGCTGAGGGTGCTGCCCTATGCATTGTAGGATGTTCTGTAGCTCCCCTGACCTGTACCTACTCTATACCAGTAGCAACCCCTCCCTGTCATGGCAACCAGATATCTGAAACCCAAATATCCCGTGCTGGGCAAAACTGCCCCACCACACACACCATTGAGGACTATAGCAGAGAACCTCTGTGCTTGGGGAACCTGCTGACAGCAAAAATGGGACATCTTATATAAACTATTCCCCCTGTTTTTGTGTTCAGATCATTTACTGATTTGACACACATCTGAGTTTCTGAGATGTCCAAGTGAGGACTTGAGAGAAGTCTCTTTGACAAATCTCTCTCTGATCTGCTGGCTTCGTGGTTACACCAGTCAGAATGCACTTTATTGTTTGCTTTTTAAAAACCAAACAACCGTCTGTCCCTATTATGATTTCCTGGACTTTGGAGCAATAAACAGCTCTAGTGACAGCTGTGTCAGATAGTAAGTGAACACACATCTCTCCAAGCACCTCCCCAAGCACTTCAGAACAGTTAAGTGGATACAACTGATTTCATCTATTACCTGGGTAGTCACTTGTGTCTGTCAAGCCCACCTGGAAAACAAGAACCAGGCCTTGATGACAGAGGAGGAGACAGGGATGGAAATGAGTGGCCCATGGCCGTCCTTCTCTTGCAGCCTATGCTCCTGGGCTTCAGAAAAAGAGACTGTAGTGCCTTCTATCCAAGACCATGAGCAGGCTTACACCTTTTGGAATGAGGCCCCACACCTTTACAAATTCAGGGAATGCTTTATGAGTTTCATTTCTCTTTTCAAAGGTTCAAAGTAGATGAAGGAACTAGGGCCAGTTTTCATAATGTAATTAGGAAAAATTTTCCTGGTTGTGGTGGTTTCTCCAATTTGACTGTGGCCTCTTGTGTCAGTTGCTTTTGTCTCATTGCTGAGACAAAATGCCTGACACCTAAAATGAAGGAAGGAAAGGTTTATTTAGCTGACAGTTTGTGGAGATTTCAGTCCATAATTTGCTGAGTCCGAGACATGGCAGAAAGGCAATGGTTCTTGGTGGCCAGAATATAGCAAAAATAACAAGGGAGGAGCAAAAAGGGAAGAAAGCATAGAGAAGACTTTCTGTGGCTTATATTGCATGTAGCCATACTCATCTAGGGTGGATGTAACACCCATACCCATAATCCCAACATCTGACCATGAATTAATCACAAATTCTAGAAGCCTGCCCCCATGACTGCATTAGGCTTTGAGGGGACATCCAGACACAAACCATAACATTCCTCTAGGATGAGGATCATAGGTTTCTCATCTCAGTATCCCCTAGAATCCAACTTGTGACTGCTTGTTAGTTAGTTAGTTGGATAGATGAATAGATGGATGGATGAATGGATGGATGAACTGATGTAGCTATGCACAACTATGAATTTTCCTAAATTCTGCCAGGTGGAAAATTCTTCTTCAACTACAGTAAGCTGTAAGCTAAAGCAGATCATAGGTTTTCCTTAGGTTGTGACCTGAAAATCCAGACCACAGAATAAACAGTCTCAGGATAACAATTAGAAACCCATCTCTTCTCCAGTATAGGTTTAAAGCCCTCTGTGTTATAGTTATATTTCCACATCGAGCTGGACATGGCACTTTTGGCTTCTCCTCAGAACTTTGGTCATTATGTTCTCTCAGGTCTGTTACTAAGCACTGTAGTAATTTTGATGTCTACATCGATGGATTCACCAAATGTGATTAATTATAAGGTGACCCCAGCATTTCAATCTGAGCTATACTGAGTGTATTCCACCTGTGCCTCCAGATGCACTTTCTATATTTGTTATTCCATTGTAAGAAGCAAGCTTTCTGAAATAATTCAGTGGAACCATTTATCTGGCTTCCAGCTGAGTTTGGTCAATAGGCTTGCCCACCACATTAGAGTCACTGGGAAGGTAAAGCTGGGATATACACAGCCTTCCTCTCAATGCAGCCCTTTTTACAGAACTTCTCTCTTATCATCTCTTTGGATCTATGGCTAGTAAGGGCTACATTGTCATCTCCAGGAAGCTATACTAGTCCTGTAGTTCCCTGACACTCTACACCTTGGAAAATGGTGCTTTGTTCCAGCCATCTAGAATGTACCTTTGTTTCCTATTGAGACTTTGACTCATGTGCTGACCTAAGACACTTGTGACTGAGGGGTGACCCTGTCTGCCCTCAAGCTCCAGTGAAAGTAACATGTCCTTTGAAGGACCACCATGTATTTTCACTTATTCAATCCCTTTGTACCATGTATGCATTTTTAAAAAGTTTTTGTCAACCACTCCTTTTACTGAAGCAAGAAATACTTCACTTTGCCATTTTTAATCATTCAATTTTTGCCAGTGTCAGAACACTTAAAAAGCTCAAGAAGGACCCTACTGAATTCCAGCCTAAAGCATGGAAAAGTGACATCTGTTTGCTTAAGAGGACCTAATCTTGGGAAGGGAGAGGACAGAGTGTCAATTCCTTTAGCAATTTTAGGTCTAGAACTCACAGAACTCTATAACATCCTGCTCACAGCACTTTCTAGGTTCAGATTTGAGAGAAGTTATGGAAAACTTTGAAGATCCAGGGTCTTGTGGATTTCCTCTAGACCAGGACCAGACTAAAGCCAGTGGGATGGCTCCCTTGACTTACAAATTCCATTTGTTCCCAAGGTCTGGTTGTAGCACAGATTGTCAGTTAAAGACTCAGGCTCCTCTACACAGCCTTCAAAGTCTCTCTCCTAGATACAGGCAGATCTCAGTGTCCATAGAGAGACAGTGGTCTAGAATTTTTCAGTTAACCCTATATAGGAAACAGTGTTGTTATGTTCCTTCCAGAGCTCCTTAATGGTTGAAACTGTATCTGAGACCATCTGGAAGCATAAGTAGCCAGCATCTGAGTCATAATTCAAGACTTTGGTCATAAGTTAAAAATAAACTTCTGATCATAACCAAAGTTGTTCATATGTTCATAATTTTAGGGTCCACGGTAAAGTGTGTTTGGAGCAGAGCCATTTGTTTCTGCATCATTTGTGGGTGTGTTTCTGCTACAACAGAGTTAAGGTCGCAGAGACTGCATGGCCCTCTGTGCAAGCGTCAGGTGAAGCCAGGTCTGACCACTGTCCTTCCAGAGGTCTCTAGGGTAGCCTTGGCTGGCACATTAGTCAATTTTCACAGTGCTGGGACACAATACCTGATACCTACACTTGAAACAAGGAGAGGTTTAATTTAGCTCATGGTTTCAGGGCATTCTGTCCATACTCAACTGACTCGAAGGCAAAAATATGACAGAAGGGCATGATGGAGCCATGATTCTTAATTCATGGTTGAAGGAAGCAGAACAAGAGAGCAATGTCAGAGAGGAAAGGGGCCGGGGACCACATGTAGTACCTATGGTCGTGTCTCCATGGCCCACCCAGACACACCCAGAGTGTGCTTTACTAATCTCCTAGAGCAGTGATGGTGAACCTTTTAGAGCTTTCAAACATAACAAACAGCTAATGCTGTAGGTTCATCGCCATGGTCTAGGGGTTTCTTAATCCAGTCAAGTTGACCTATGACAATTAACAGCCACAACTGGAATCTGTGAACTTGGATTTGGGGAGAGTTCCCATCACAACTGAGAAGAGAGCTTCTCCATGCCTAAATTGTTGGAACAAACACTGCTGTTCATGCTGAACGCCTGTTTTCCTATGGCAGTCACGAAGTTAGGTGCATACCAGGCAGACGATGCCTATGCAGCTAGAAGCCCAGAGCTGAGGCTCTGACTGGCTTCTCTGGTAAACAATACTTCACAAACTTTGTCCCAAGTCATTGCTGGGGAATAGAGCATACCCTGAGTGACTTGACTGGGGCAGGACTTTGTGAGTTTGTGTCTAGTCCCCCCAAACCTTTTCCCTTTACTGTTTTGCTATGTATCTGTTTAATATAATTAAGATTGCTGTGCAGATCGCTATGTGTTGGGTCCTGGGTCTTCTCTGAGAATCTCTGAATCTGAAAGTGCCTAGGGTGACAATCTCCACCCAGCACACCCTCAATGCCAAAACTACTTGCCATCTGTCCCTTTAAGGAAAAGTTTCCCAACACAGGCTACGTACAACCTTATTTGGGATAGAAATCCTATGTTTCTTATCTCCCATCCCACAAGACCCTGGGCTCCCTGGAAGCCTGGCCCAGGCCTTTTGTCTCTGTGTCTCTTGGCCAAGCACAGCATCTGCACAAAATACCTACCGAGGAAGTTAGCAAGTCTGTACCTAATGGATTCAAGAAGCACTTTTTAAACCATGAGTGGTGAAATCAATTTAAAAGGTTATGGCCAATGTTTTCCAATGAAAAAATAGAATGGAAAATATCACAGTATATTACATAGAGTAAGCTTAAGTTTTATTTCTCAAAAATATTGTTTTAGTTATACCCATGGACAAAATGCCTTGCTAACAGATAGTAATGTGAAGGCCACTCGCTAGATGTAAAAAATCTAGGGTGTTCTCTAACCGTGACCTCTTTGCCGGCTGCCTGGTGACTGACTGTCACCATGTACCTTCCCATTCTTGTGCTCTGGATTTAACCTCTTACTGTCTCCTTCCCACCACCCCCAGAACGTGTACTACACAAGCAGCCAGCAGATCCACGTGGGCGTGCTGAGCCCCACAGTGGATGATGATGACAATCGGTGCCTGGTGGATGTCAACAGCCGGCCTCGACTCATCGAATGCAGTTATGCCAAGACCAAGAGGATGAAGCTCCACTGGCAGTTCTCTCAGGTAAGAGCTCCAGAGCCTGGAAGCTGATAGGCTCCCGAAGGAAGGCAGACATCCAAAGGCGTGCTGGGATGGGAACGCAAAATCTCTCTGACTTTAAACCTTGGCGTGTTTTCTACACAGACACCTTCTCACAGAGTCCCGTGTCCCAGGTCCAGATAGCACTGGGTCCCTGATCTGAGACTTTTCACCTGGGTCCTACTATGGGGTCACTGTAGGGACAAGGAGGGTTCCTAGCAGGGCAGTATCTCAGGGCTACTTAGGAAGAGCAAACCTTGCTTTAGTGACCGTAGAACATGAAGTCTTCCTCAGCCCATGGCCCATATTTGACTTCTTGCTCTTAGTCATGTGTCTCCCCATGATAAAGTCATTTGCAAAGACCTAGATGTCCAATCTGAAGGAAAGCCTTTGCCTTTGCTCAAGCATCTGCACAAAATATCCACGGAGAAAATTAGCAAGTCTGTACCTAATGGATTCAAGAAGCACTTTTTAAACCATGGGTGGTGAAATCAATTTAAAAGGTTATGACCACAGAGTCCCAAAGAATCTCCTCCATTAGAGTCCCTCCATTCGGACCACCTGAGGGGCTGTGCACTGTGGATGCTCTCAGGGATGTCAGGAAGGAACTAGGGGCTTGGCTCATCAGACTGCTTGGCAGAACCCCTGGCTCAAGCCTCCCAGCAAGCTGCCTCCACACTGATGAGGTAGGAGACTGTTGCAAGGACAGTCTTCTGCAAGCTAGCCATGCCTCCATTGCAGTTCTGACATCATTACTGTTCCCTCTAGTAGGAGGTCATAGAGGGACCCCCAGCTACATCACATTCCACAGGGAGCCTTTGACCTATGGTTTGAGTAGGAGAACCACTGGTCTTAGAGAGAGCCTTGCTCAGGTCCCAGTTGGGTGGGGAAGCCAATACGAAGCAGCAAGCTTTAGTCAAGGTCACAGATTTAGTTGCTAGAGAGCAGGAGCAAAAGCACAAGGCAGCAGTTTGTGGAACCAGGAAAGCAGATGCAGGAAGGAGCACAGGCAGCCAATGGAACACTTCCAGGCAGGCAGAGGACACAAACACGACAGCATGAATCCTGCCTAGTCCTGCAAAACAGGAGGCCAGGGTGGCAGTAACAGGAGATGATGATGACTTGCAGCTGGGGCCTGGGACATGTGTTGTAACTTTAGGGCTCTCTCCCAATAAGACAGCAGCTAAAGTTCCTACAGTGCTTACTGGGTAGCAGATGCCAGGACCTTGGCATAGATTAACTCATTTGATCCTCACAACTGTGTGTGATTACTATCATTACTCTAATTTACCAAAGGGAAAACTAAGACACAGAGAAGATAAGCAAGGTGCTCCTGTCAGTTACCATTCATCAAACATCTCAAATTCTATTTTATGTTTACCCATTGGAGGCTGTCAGAAGTGTCCCTGGAGGAAGCGTCAGGTGAGCTGTGACAGTCCGGTGTGTGACTTCCTCCCACCTCTCTCACGTGCTGAAACCCCGGGTTCCCCATCCACAGCCTGTTTCTGACCCATACTGTCCTGGAAAGGGTTTCATGACCTTTTCCTGTCACATTTCTGGCGCTTTTTCCTTGTCTGTGCTGAGAGATGGGGCACCTGAGGCCAAGGACAGGAACAGATAGGTGCCAGGAGGAATGGCTGTGGTTACTGGCTCTGGCCTGGTACAGAGTGGGCTGGTAGAATGTGGGCACAGGTAGATGAGGGGAAACCCCAGGCCCAGGGAAATGAGCAGGGTTGACTTTGCCATGTGACTTGGGGTTCAAGGTCTGGGCGGATCCCATCGGGGTATGCTAGGAGTAACACTCCTTGCTGCCTCCAGGCCTGCTGGGTCCCTGGATTCAGCTTCCTCCTGGGAACAGTAAATGGAACAGAAAAGGGTAGTGGTGGGAAAGAGGTAGAGCAAAGCTGTGGGCTTCTCAGGATAGTCAATGTGGAATGCTCAGAGTATGTGGGATTTTGTTCAGCAGAGGAGCAAAAGGCGTCCCAGAGAAAGGGAACAGAATGTGCCTAAGGGGTGGGACATCAAATCTCCCGCCTGGTCAGGGCACTCAGATAAGTGCAGCCAGATTGTGGAAGGCCTGATGGGAGCGACTGGAGAAGTGCCTAGAAGGGACCCCAAGGCTGGATATGGAGGCCACAGGACCTGGTAAGACTTGGTTCCATAGGAGATGAGGATGTACAATTCCAGGCCATATTCATGTCTGAGCTTTTGAAAGGCCCCTCTGGTGAGTATGATGGAGCAGAATTAGGAAAAAAAAAAAAAAAAAAGATCCTAGAAAGTGAGAGAGAGACGACTTAACAGGAGGTAGAAATGTACCCTGAAAGTTTAGCCACTCTCTGCTCCCTTTCTACCATGACCTTGAGCCTTGGTCTGCAAGGCTACCATTCAGCCAGGGTCTAAGGTGATGAAAGGAGCTCAGATGTGGGCTGGACCAGTGGACAGGTATGTCTACAGTCCTGAGATAGCCAAGCACGAGATTTCACCTCCCTGCAGTAGGAAAGTTGTGTCCTGGAATAGACACAGTAAGTTGCAGCCCAAAGAAGTAGGTAAGGCTGTGGAGCCTTGCTGCTCAGTTATGAGTCTTCTTCCTAAAGTCAGTGCCAGCCCCCTTCAGAGGCCCAGTGCCTCCACAGGCTCCACAATCAGCAGAGAAGCAGAGCTGTGTGTGAACCTTTGTCTAGAGGCAAACACTCCCAAATCCAGCAGCCTCTTTCCCTCATCTCAGGGCCTGGCCTCGAACTGGGGACCCCACAGGATCTCCATTTCAATGGACTCAGCAACCAATAAAGTGAGGGGCACTCTGTGGCCTGGGCAGTTTTTGATCGCTTTTGCATATGTTTAATTAAATCTCCCAGAGCGCCTTGGCAACCACATCTTTGATCCCTCTACCAAAGGGAAATATTTGGAAATAACATTTTTAAATTCCTAATTCATAAACCCTGGGCAGCGACTCGCATTTGATATTTAATAATTAACATATGTGCAATTTTTGTTTAATGCAAAATGGTCAATATTGATCAAGCAGCCTGGAATCCAACCTTAAGCTCTTACTGATGAGGAGTTACTGCTGATAGGGATAGAGGAAGCCTGGAACTTCTTAAATGATTAAAGTCTTGTGCTTGGGCTAATTTCCTTGTGTTAGTCTCTCCAAAAAACATGGGCATCGTATCAACTGGAGTATTCTGCTGCTGGGCTGGAAGAGGCTTTCACTGGGTACATTTCAAACCTCCTTTCACGTTATGCATAATTTGATCTCCGAATTTAAGCTCTACAAACAATCAGCCTGAATTAATTTCAAAATAATCTATTGTGATTCTGCTAGGTTCTTCTAGGGAAAAAAAAAAAGATATGTATTTGCATATCTTAGTGTTCCATCTCCTACTTTGATTTTCTGTTTAACAAATAAAATGCCTTTCGTCTAACCCCTGCAAGCTCTTCCAAATTGCCAATGCTTCAGGCTGAACCAGGGCAGTGTTACACACTGACACCAAGGAGCTGCATTTGATGAAAACATCTCTTGGCAATGCTGATGTGCAGGCTCTGATGAACAATTTTCTGATGATGAACATTCTTTCCTTCAGTCATTCATCAAACATTTACTGAGCACAGGGTTTTGGCAGGAGGGATACAGATATGAATCAACATGGCCTCGGCCCTCAAGAAACACATGGGCATGTAAACACACAACAAAACTATTGGATGAGAGCGGAAATGAGATGTGCAGGGTTTGGGGAGCCCAGGGTGACCAGTTCTCCTTGAAGAATTCAGGTCCAGCTTCACATGCTTGGTTTATTTGATCTGGATCTTGAAAGTTGTAGCCTTGGTCTGCACATACTACCCAGCGGAGGAGAGGGGAAGAACCTGGAAGGCATGGAAGAGCAGAGTGTGTGTGAGGAGTGGCTCCAGTGAGAAGAGTTTAGAGCTCGTGCTGGGGGAGGAGGGAGACAGAACTGGAGAGATGTGTGGGACCGGATGATGGGATTGGTAGTGCCCAGAAGTTTGGACTGCTCCTTAAAGCAAGGGCAGTGATAGGGGAGGTTCCTAAACAGCAGACTTCTGGTCTGGTCCACTTTTTGTTACTATAATGAAGTATCTAGAACTGGGTAATTACAAAATCATAAGTGAGTGACTTTAATCACAGGTTGGAGGTCAGAGGGGATGGCGTTGGTATTGGCTCAGGTCTGATTAAGGCATCATGGAGAATAGTGTGACCGTGACAAGAGGTATGTGAGTGAAGGCCATCGTGTCTCAAGACAGGAAGCCAGAGCATGGCTCAGGACTCCGCTCTCTCTCTTTGTTAACAACTTGCTCTCAGGAGAACTAACTCCAGGTCCCATGAGAGCCACCTTAATTTCCTCATTGGGTAGTGTCCACCATGACCTAAGGACCTCCCACCAGGCTCTGCCTCTCAAAGGCCCCACTATCCCAACCTTGCCACCTTGAGAACCCAACCTCCAACTCTTGGGCACGTGAGGGGCAAACTACATTCAAACCATAGCTGTTTTCAAATCATAGCATGAGAGTGGAAGAGGCTGGAGAAGGGAAGCTAGGTAGCTGGGGAAAAGGCCACTCTATCATCTTGCGGAAAGATGTGAGCCCTGGCAACGCGTGGGGAAGAACGTTGAAAGACATCTCATTGTTGTGTTGGACACAGTCATTGATTATACGATGGTAGCTGGGAGCGTTACTCCAGGACCACGCCCAGTCTGGGCTTGAAGAACAGTTGGGGAGCCACCAGAGCTGTCACCCCTGAACCAACATACCTATCTCTAAATAGCCAGTGTTTCCCAAACCAATACACAATGAAACATCAGTATGAGAAGTGATAGACATTGCTTTCCATGACTTTTCCTTGTGGATAAAAGTATTTCCAAACCAATTTCTGGAATTATAAATGCATATGTATTAAGTGTATGTTTTTCAATCTTCAGAGAGTTCCTTCACGTTTAGGATTTTGGGAATTCTGGGATTCATTGACATGGTGTTAATAAGAGATGCATTTGATCAGTGACCCCAGGACCAGGGGAGAGCTAAGGAGGAAGCAGACACTAGGTCAGTACATAGACATTCTTTGTAGCAGGACACCAGGGGGACAAAGTAGTGCACTGCTTCTCAGTGGTAAGGAAACCACACCCAACCTTGGTGACTTCTATGACTTTGAACAGTTAGGCAGGCGCTGGAGGCCTCCTTCTAATGTGTCACCGACAGGACTCTTTCTCTTGAAGGCTTTTGCCATTGTATGGGTCCTCTAAACTCCAGCTTAGTCACAGTCTGCCAGCAAATTTAATGCCTGAGGCAAGAAATGGACTTTAGATACAAGAAAGACCTCAGGAGGCTCTGTACTCCCCCTTCAAGTATCTGCAGGGCTGCCTTGTTCAAGGTCAGGGAGACTTGATTGTGTAACTAATGGGAAGGACCAAGGGGGAAAAGCAGGGGCGACTGACAGAGCTGCCATGTTGTTGTCAGAGTTGTCCATGAGACTGGTGGTTTGGGAAAGGACAGGGCTCAGGGATTATCAGCAACCATCAGCAGCTCAGTAGCTCTGAATGGAGGGGACCAGGTGATTTTAAGGACTTGTCATTACAAACCCTGGGAAAGTTTTTTCCCTCCTACAAGTCACCTCAGACCAGCCCAAATACAAAGCATCTCAAACTTGAGGATGAGCTGAACTCCTTTTATCCAGGTCTCAGTGGCACTTCATGGAATCTCTTACGCACTGACTCAGCCCCCTGCTGGAGAGCAGGATCTTGTCTCAGACTTCCAGGATCTCCACCATCAAATGGAAAGCCTGAGACAGGACAGGCACCCTGCATGCTGCCAATCAAGCAAAGAAGTCCTCCTTAAAATTTTACAAATCTTAATTATAGGCCTCTGTTGTGCCAGACCTCAAGGTAAATTTATAGGAAGTTCAGAGACAAAACCCCACCTTCACTGATTCTCCTCAGAGGCATACATGCTGACTGAAGAAAAAAAAAAAGGAAAAAAATCTAAACATGCCCTTCTTCCTGTAACTTCAGACTTGGGGAAGGAAGTAGATATATTTTATGCTAAACAGACATGCATAGTGTATGCAGTGAGTTCAAATTTGTGTGAATATTTTTTTAAAAAGAAGATCTGAAGAAATATCAGGGTATTCAGGCCGTGTTTCCTGCTGCCCCCAACTCTGGTCTCTGAGTTCTTTGGTGGAAATACTGATAAGATCACAAAATCCAGCTGAAGTCCAGGGATGCACAGGCAGACCTCGTGTCACAGGCCCCGCCCCTGCTTCATCCTCAGAGCAGCATTTGTGCATTTTCCAAATGGAGATTGTCCAGAGCAGTAACAGAGATGTGTGCTCCATGCCAGAAAGAAGAGATTTAGGGAGTGAGGGGAGGTTCCCTGAGGACAGCAGAGCCCAGAGCCTGGCCTGACCTGGAGGGACATTGATTGGCTCCTGCTTGTGGGATCTAATTTGGTAATTTGATGCCAGGTGAGTAACCCAATCAGAAGGAGCTCACTTCCCTAGGCAGTGCACCACTAATCCTGCCAAAGCATTCCTGACACCAAGCGGGGAGTCTTTTACTGCCCGCTGGGGTCACCAGGTAAAGGTCAACTTCAGGACCCTTTTGTGCTGGAAAGAAAAGGCTGTATGGAGCTTTTCATTATGGCTTTGAAATAAAACAACTTTTCAATTTCATGTCAGAGGAAGGGGCAAGTGTGGAACTGTCCAGTTTCAAGGGATGGATAAAGCTTTGTTTAGACCCTGGGTATTCTCTTAGTTATCTTTAGTGTATGTCAGTCAGCACTTCCTCCTCCTCCTCTTCTTCCTCCACTTCATCCCACAGGACTCAGAGACAGGACCAGGTGTGATGGCTCTACTCCCACCACCCAGAACTGAATGAGATTTCAAAATGTTTTTATCAAACATGTATAAGGTGCTTACTAAATGCCAGGTACTACTTTTTCCTATAAACATTACTTAATAACCATGACAACACTATACAGTAGTTACTAAACTTATCCCCATTTTACAGATGAGGAAACTGAGACACAGACATGTTAAATAATTTGACCTGGTTTGACCTCTGGCATCCAAGCTTTAAACCACACTCTGGGGTTGACATTAGGGGCCAGTTTGGTGCAGTGTGAGTCTGGGGCTGGCATCTCTGGTGTATGTGAACTGGATTGATCCCTGCATCTCAGGCAGTCCTGTCCACTTGTCCATCACCTCTCTCCACCTGTCTTTTAACACTTGATGTTGGAATTACCCCCATCTCTGGGCAGTGGACCCCATAGTGTGTCTCATGCAGGCTCTCGCTCAGGCATGAGTGAGTCCCCTTTAAGAATAAATTGGAGGTTGAATATTCATAATACACTACTCTACAAAAAGTTTAATCCTGGGGCTTTCTTTAACTAGCCTTACCTTCCTGCCCATGTTTTGAAGTACTCGATTACTAATCTTTAACTACTTAACCCAGACTTCTGTGTTCCTAGTGCTTTTTAAAGCCAGCAACCCACAGGGCTTATGCTTAATTAGTTGGAGCAGGCAATCTGACAGGAGCAGGAAGGTGTGCCTAACACGGGACACACATGACCTCCCAGGGACACCTGGGCAGAAAGTCAGACCAGCCAGACCCAGCCAGATACCCTGGGCTGCCATGTGCTGACCCAAGCTCCTGTCCTCTATGGCTGACCCAGCCCTGCACCACCCGTGCAGCTACAGGTATGTTAAAAGGCACATTTTGGGACCTCATTCAGGTCCTCTGGAATGAAAAAGGAGGTTACCGGTCTATAGCTTCCAAACCCCCAAGTGACTCTCACTCTCAGATCCATTCACCCAGCCTAGGTCCCCGGGGGAACAGGGTTGGTTTGGTGCTAGCTGGTCCACATCTGGCTGCCATTGACACATACTTGGGGAAGCCGAGGCAGGGATACTTGGCGGTGTGGTCATCTGGGACCTGCTCCTCCTTGCCCAAGGAGCACATGAAGAGTAGATTCCATGTCCCTACAGTGAGACATGAATCGGGTCCCCCGGAAGTGCTGCTTCCTTTTGCAGTGAGGAGATGGAAGCTCAGAGTGGCTTAGCTGCTCCATGGCGGGAAAAGAGTTCTGTGTGCTGCTCGGGCCCTTTGCATCACTGCTCCAGAGGAGCCCAGGAGGAAGAAGGGAGAGGCTGGAGCCGGGAACCCAACCCTAGGAATTATTATCAAGCTGGTTAATTCTATACATACAACTTTTGATTTCTTTAAACTGTCATTTCCATATTTAATTTGGTTTCCTTTCCAATTAAGCTCTCTGTGTGCTGCGGCTTCTCTCCTGCCAGGTTTAATTGCCCTTATTTAAATTCTTTAATTAAAAGTATTGTGTGTTTCCAGATCCTGTAGTTGTAAGTATTACACAAATAATGTAGGTGACTGGACTGGTAAACCCAGGGACAGTACCCTTACAGAGGGAAGGACAGGGACAGGAGGGGGCTCTGCATGCAGCCCCTGACCCTAGCTGTGAGCTAGGCCCTGGGGTCAGGATGGAAGCTGGATAACACTTCCTTCCTGCCTTCCTTTCTCCATCACTGTAGCCCAGCACAGCACCCAGGGTGAGGTGGCTGCCTTATCCATCAGAGCTGCAATGGCTAGCTCTGGGTCTTAGCCGCTTACCTGTCACTGAGGCAAAATACCTGACACCCACAACTTGAAGGAGGGAAGGTCAATTTTGGCCTCCAGTTTCAGTCCATGGTTGGTTGGCTCCAAGGCAGAAACAGCATAGTGTTCGCTGGATGGTGGTCAGGAAGCAGGAAAGGGAGGAAAGAGCTGGGGCCAAGAATACAGCCTTCAGGGCTCATGTCCCCAGGGAGCCACCTCCAACCAAGCCCCACCACCCCACAGCACTTTCAGGTACTGAGCTTGTGAATGGATGAATCCACTGCTGCAAATAGCACCCCCATGATCCATTCACCTTCCAAACACAGGAGACAATGGAGCATTTTAGATCTCAACCATAACACCTGTCACTCAGATTACAAAGTCTGCCCAAAGACTCACAAGGCCACACATGTCAGACCTTGTCTCCTCCCTCTGACCCTGCTGCATACTCACCTCCCACAGTTCTCGGAGCTCTCCAGGCTTGCCGCTGGCACTGCAGCCTTGTGCCAGCACATGGGACTCTCCAGATAGCTTTTGGCTCCCTCCTCTCCTCCATCATGTCTCTGCTCAGTTCTCACTTTTGAGAATCTCCTTGCCCCCTGCTCCCCAGCATCCTAGAATCTGACCCAGCTTCACAGTTGTGTGCACAGCCTTATTACCCCCTAGTACACTATAGAATTTAGTGCCTGCTCTCCCTTCTAGAGCACACTCTCTACAAAAGCAGACCTTTTCCTGTTTAGTCACTTATGCCTGGCAGCGGCATAGACTGTGCGTGGCACACTGGGAACTCATTAAATATTTGTCACATGGACGAAAGGATGAATGAATCATGTCTCTGTTGAGTCTGTCCCTCCAAGGAACAGACCAAATGGGCCCTTAAAGCCCCAGAAGCTCACTGAGAGAGTACCAGCGGCCCTCTCAGCCTGGCCCAGTCCCTCTGAGACAGGCATGGGGAGATAAATATTGGGGTGGGGCTGGCCACTTATCCTACTGAGGAACATTGTGGGAGATGAAGACACCCTAGTCCCCAGCCTGGCTCTACCACTTACTGGCCATGGCAGGTCTCCCAACCTTTCTAGACCTCAGTCTCCAGATCTGTAAGATGAAAGCTCTTATGACCTGCAACTCTCAGGGCACTGTGAGGCATACATGGGGTTGGCAGGGAAAGCACTTGGCTTAGAATGAAACAAGTGGTAAGTAAGTGCTAGCCATTATCACACTCATCTCCAGGGCATGGCTATCCCACTGGTAGAGGTACAACCAGGAGCAACACTTCGCTGCTCCTGAGGGTGCTGAACTTGCCAGGGGGCAGTGGAAGGAGGAAAGGAGGGCTTTGCAGCCTTGGCAAATAGAGTTTCCCCAGAGCCAGAGAAGGTAGAGGTCTCAGGAAGATGACAGTGCCAGTGACCAGTGCCAGCTCTGGCACTCAGGGGGCCTGGCTTTTCCCTCTGTGTCCCAGGTTTGATCCTAAGGAGCACTCAAGGGCTGCCAGCCCTCTTCCAGAAGCTGCTCCTCTCTCGGATCCGGGGAGGGAGCTCTCCTTCACCTCACATGCCGCCTCCCTGACAGGCCCAGGATTCTCACCAAGTTGGGTCCCGTCCTTCAGCCCCCTCCACCACTGTGTTCTTGGCCTTGATCTGTCTCTTCCATATCCTTCCAGAGGCCACACTGGATGTATGTGCTCCAGAATCACGTATTTCCTGTCTCTGGGATCCTGAGGGGATGGGGGCTGGGGAGGGGCTGGGATACACAGTCTCTGAAGAACAAGGTGCTTCTCAGAGACTTCTGCTCCCTCCACTCTCTGTCACCTTGGCAGGCACAGCTGACTGAGTAAAAATGTGCCTGGTGGCTTGGTGGGGAGATGCAGTGGACTGTGGCTTCCTCTGTTTTGGACAAGTTCCTCCAAATTCCAGGGACTCAGGGGCTGTGAAGCAGCTTAGCCTGGGCCCTGAGGATGTGCTGAGCCAGCAGAATCTTCAGCAGAGTGGAGCCCCCAATGTCCCCCTGCTGACTCTGTGAACACCCCCACCTGCAGATGTTGACTTAGAGCTAACAGTGGGGTTTCCCATCCTTCCTCTGTCATCATCAGGGAATCAAGACAGAAATTATCCTGGGGTCCTACAAACAATGAAACAGAGGGGAGAGGCTTCCCTAAGACCACACAGCTGACAACCCAAAGAGAAACCACATCTTAACCCTTTTCACCTCTCAGCCCTTTCTGCTTCATACTTGAAACCCAGCAGACAGTGTGACATAGGGGGCTAGGCTGGTTTTGGTGTCTGTCACCCTGCCTGAGCTGTGCTCCCAGCCTCCTCTGGTAGAATAGGCAGCTGAGCTGGCAGGAATGTTGGAGGGGCCAGGAGAAAATGGTCTCAGGTTAACTTAAGAAGTAGCAGTGGCCTGGCCCAGCCAAGATGTAGGCAGCAGATGTACTCAGGTTTTGGTGCTGAAGGTGACACAGAAGCTGGAGAAACCTGGGCTGACAGAGTGATGGGCTGGATTTGTGCATAACAGATGTCACAAGGCTGCCCCAGGCTCAAAAGCCCAGCCTTTTTGGGACAGAACAGGGACCTAGTGTGGATCACAACTCCTGAGAGGTCCAATCCAGGTGCCTTCTGTGCTGTCCAGTGTGGCTCAAGAGTGAGGTCTGGCCACCAAAAGAGCCAGTTCCTTGGCTGTGTTGAAGAAGCCTGCTGTCCAGGATCCATCACTGTGGTCAGTCCCAAGCAACACAAAATACTGGCATTTGTCCACGAGAGGACCGCTGATGTGGACAATCATGCAGCGTCCTCCCACAAGGCTATGGCAGAGCTGAACCAAGCACAGACATGAGGGGTAGGAGGAGACTGGTGTGGAAACCTCAGGGAAGCTCTGCAATACCTTGGTGGATCCTACAACAGGATTAGAGTTCAGACAGAAAGAGTCCCAAGGCAAAGCAGCCAGTGAGGAGGGCTGCGTGGCTGAGCACCTCCTCCCTGCAAGCACCAGGTAGGCCTGGAGGGCAGAAAACATTCAGCCTGTGGATGAGAGAAAGACCTGGCCTGCCACGTCTCAGCAACATGGGGGCTCCAGGCCATTTAGAGCTTTATCTGCTGTGCCCTGCTCTGCCCTAGCCAAGCCAGCCCTGGTAGCTGCAGTTGTGGTCCCAGAGGTGCCCTCTGCCTCATTCTCCCCTTTATTCTGCAGTGTCTCTGCCACGGGGATAGTGAGTCAGTGCTCTCCCTGGGCAGGGCCTGGAGCATGAGCTACAGCAGGGGAAGGATCCTACTTTATCCACAGGGATGCCTCTGAAGAGGTTTGTGTGCTCTGCTGGCCATTTTGCCTGTGCCAGAAGTGGGGATTCCCAAGCCCCTCCCCAACACCCATCCCCATCCACTGCACCCCTCTGCCTCCAGCTCTGCATCACCTGCTGCCTTCACCCCCTCTCAAACTTACTTTGAGAGAGCTGCATTTATTTATTTTTGGTGTTAGTTTTTTAATTGAAGGCTAATCACACACATACAGAAATATGTACAAAATACATATTCAACTCAACAGCATAAAGCAAAGTAAATGCCTAGATCACCAACACCCAGGTCAGGAAATCGGCCCACTACCAGCCCTGCAGAAAGGTCCCTGTTGCCTTCTGAAACTATTAGACTCTGTTTCCCCAGAAAGAATCACCATCGTAACTTCAAAGCCATGGTTTTAGTTTGCCTGTTTAGGAAATTTATGTGAATAGAATTGTGTATATATTCTTTGCTCCTTTTGCTCATCACCATGCTTGTGAAATTAGTTCTTATTGAGCATAACTCTAGCCTATTTTATTGTGGTAGAGTATCCCATTATAAAATCATACCATGATCCATTTATCCACTGTATGCATGATGGATGTTTGGGTTGTTTCCACCACAGACTTTGTACATATCAAGTGCATGTCTTTGGTGCACACGTTCCTGTTACATACCAAAGTAGGCATGGAACTGTTGGGTCACAGAGGATATGTGTCCGACTGTAGATGACTGCCAGTTTCCTGGGTAGTTGTGAGAAGCATGTCTTTGGGTTCTCTTATGATGCCAGTGGTTGCCATGGGGATGGTTGAGACCAACTGGGATGATTTCTTCATAGAAGAGGTTTGGTATCTCCTTTTCTTATGGTGCAGTCTCACTGTGAGCTGAAGGCACATGATGAGAAGCACCAATCCAGGTGGATGGGCTGGAGGGATTGGGTAGGAGGCGGAGAGGACTTCCTCGAGAAAATAGAGCAGGGGCTCGGCTTCAGGACATAACTGTGGCTTATCTTGCTATGGAAGCTTGAAAAAGGACCTCAAGCTGAAGGCAGAGCTTATGCAACACCCAGTGTCCCTGAGATAAAGTGCATGGGCCCAGGAGAGTTTCAGTACAGCTGTGGCAAGAGGAGTGGAGCTGGGAGGAGTTAGAAATGAGCCTAGAATGATACACAGTCTGAGCCATGGAGGCCTATGGAGGCCCAATGCTCTGCTGAGGCCAAACATGTATGTTAGAAGGTCGCCACCCCAGGCTCTGGTCGCTGGAAGGGAGGTCATGAGGAGGCTGATGCAGTTGTCCAGGGGGAGATGAAAGCAGCCCAAAGTAGGACAAGTGTGGTAGGAGAGGGCTAAGGGACGATCACAAAATGAGGACAATGGAATTGGTCCCTGACTGGGTACTAAGCAGAAGGATGAGTAAAAGCAAATGTCCAGGTTACCTACACACATCCTTGGTTGCAGCCAAAATGAGAAACATATGGAAGTAGGTTCTGGGGAAAAGGCGAGTTTGACCATGAGCTACCCCAGCAATTCCAGCTGCTTGGGAGGCCAGGCCCACAGAGCACTGTATGGATGATAAAGAAGATATTCAAAGGTCCAGGCTGCTGCCCATGTCCTGCAAGGATCCCAGCTGGAGATTCCTCTTTGCTATTCTAGGGCTACTTTCAGAAACAGAGCATCACTGCCTTTGAAAGGGTTTGGGCATGGATGAATATGCTGAGCTTATATCAGTAGTACAGAAAACCATTCAAGTCAAGGGATTGGGAAGCCCAATGGCCTAATGGATAGTATCCAAGATGCTGAATTTGGTTTTCCCAAGACGTCCACTGGAGAAAAGACCTCAAGAGCAAAAGGTGCTGGGCCTCTGGGGATGCTCAGAGGCAGGCTGACTGCAAGGTGGTCCCAAAGACATAGGGTTTTTGGAGCAGGGCTGGCCCAGAGCAGGAGCTAAAGGAGCAGACTAACATGGTACAACCCAACCAGGTAGGCAAACGGGTGCAAGGAAGACTCGGTCCTCATAAAGAACCAGGGCACTGTGAGAAAACTGGGGCACATGGTCAGTCTTCAGGAGGAAACCAGTACATCAGGACTAGGGAACCTAAGGTTTCACGGGAAAGCTGATCCCCAAGCCACACCAGCCACTGGTCTCCCCGAGTCCCGCTGAGATAGCTCAGTGCCTCTGACCCCACCATCTGTTCTGACTCTAGGGAGGCCCCATCCAGAACCGCAAGTCCAAGCGCTGTCTGGAGCTTCAGGAGAACAGCGACACGGAGTTCGGCTTCCAGCTGGTGCTGCAGAAGTGCTCGGGCCAGCACTGGAGCATCACCAATGTCCTGAGGAGCCTGGCCTCCTGACCAACATGGAGTTGTCACCTGCCACCCCTTTGCTACTGTGTAGCACCTGCCACAACGTGGCCTGCTGTCCTCCCGGGATTGTTTGGAGTCTGGGGGAACCAGGTTAGGCGGCCCCTGAAAGAGCTTTTTATTTCCTATTCAATTTTCATGGAGTTTATAGGAAGATGCTGAATGGTGGGTGAAGGTATCATAGCATAAACTATTTTGCATCTGTAAATAGGGGAAAAATGGAAAATATTTATAACAAAATAAAATACAATTGATTAAGAAAAAAGCTTTCAGAGGTGGTCATTTGGTGCCCTGTGGAAGTTTGTGCCGGGCTCTGTTGAACTTGGAGTTCTGGTAGCCAAAGATGTGTCCAGGTTCACCTTTTTCTTTTCATGCCCCTGCAGCATGAAGCTTTAAACTCTTGCAAAAATGGGAGCTTGTTGTGAAAGATGCCAGCCTGCTTTGTGAGGCCCAAGGCAATGAGTGGGGCACAGGATATCAGATCTCAATCCCTAGAGGAAAGGTCCTTCCTGTGCCTCCCACACAAGGTTCTCCCTTCCTGTGCTATGTGGCCACTGCTGGGCTTTAAGCAATACTGCCCTCTCCTGAAGTCACCCAGTCACCTCCCTCACTTCTTCCAGCTGTCCACTGCCCAGCCCCCTCAGCAGTGACACTTTCCTGTGTCCAATTGCAAAGATCAATTTGTCTCCTTCTGTGAATCGTGGTGTGTTTGTTTCCTGTGGTTGTTATAACGAAATGTCTCACACAAGCTGCCTTAACAGAAAATTGTTATTTCACTGTTAGCAAGGCCAGAAGTCCAAAATGAAGGTGTCAAGAGGTTGTTCCTTCTCAGGGCTGTGAGAGAAACTGTTCCATTCCCCTCTCCTGGATCCTAGTAAACCCAGACAGTCCTTGACCATTTCTCCCTGTGCTTTCACCTGGCCTTACCTTTGTAGGTGTCTTCTCAAGTCTAAGTTCCCTATCTTTATAAGGACACCAGCCTTGTGCTGCTCATCTTTCATGTTCTATGACAAAACACCTGAGAAAAACAACTTCAAAGAGCAAGTTGCTTAGCTCACGGTTTCAGAGGTTTTTCTCCACCGTCAGCCAGCTCCCTTGTTTCCAGACATGCTGGGACAGAAGTATGGTGGAGGCATGGTGCCAAGGAAAGCTTATCAACTCATGGAAGCCTGGAAGCAGAGAGAGAGAAAGAGCCAGAGAGGAAGGGACAAGTGACAAGATACGATCCCCAAGTTCACGTTTCCATGACCTCCCTTCAACTAGGCCACATCTCCTAACTGCCCGTTACCTCACAGTAAAGTTATCAAACTGTGATCTCATCAATGACTTAATCTGTTGATGAAGTTAAAGCCCACATGAACCAATCACCTTCAGATACTATACCTTTTAGCACTTGGACCTTTTACAAGCCATTTTAGATCTAAACCATAAGCAGTCCACTGTTCTTGGGGACTAATTTTAACTTGCTTATCGCCATTAAGACTCAATTTCCAAATAACATCAGATTCTGAGGTACTGGGACTCAGGAATGTAACAAGTCTGGGAGGGGACACAGTGCTACCCAAAGCACACAGCTCACTCACAGCCGCTACAAGGCACTCTCTGGGCCCAGTGTAGGAGACCAGTGGCCTTGAATGGGGCTCTCTTTCTTGGAGCCTCTTACTCACCTCCTATTCCACTCAAGAGCCTCCAGCTGAGTGAGCTTGGTCACAGTCCACTGAGCCCTTCTTCTGCTCAGGGACTCCTTTTTTTAATTAGAAGGATCCCACTACCCCAGTACTACCTCTAATGCTCCAGATCACAGCACAGCAATCACCATGCCAAGGCCCAGGATGAAGAAGGAAAGAGGCCCCATTCTGAGCAGTTTCTGCTCACCTCCCTGTACTCCCTGGGTCCCCTTTCCTGGGAGCCTCCAGGCAGTCACCTGTTGGGGGCCAGTAATTTATAGCTGAAAGTTGAGAGACACGGAGACACCTCCTGCATCTGTAGGACCCCAGGCCTGTTGTCTGAGCCATCTTTGTACCCCAAAGATTCACAGGATTCTCCTGCAGGATGCACCTGGGACCTCAAAGGCTACTGTTGTAGGCTCCCCTTGGAGTTTAAAATTAACTCACAAAAAGCCCTTTGAGCTCCCTGGCAAATTAACAAGATATCTGCCGGGCTGCTCACACGTGATGGCCACCACCCGGGAAGTCAGCACAGGATGAGGAGCCTTTGAGAACATAGTGTCTCCCTGTGGTGGTAGCCATGGGCTTTGCTGTGCTCTCTTTCCACTTACTTCCCCACTTTACTAAACTGTCCTGCTTCCCACACTCAGTCCCATCAGCATCTTCTACCTGCAACTTATTCTAAACTTCCAAAGGCACCATCTCCTCTAGACTCAGCATCCTTCTCTCTATCTCTAAACCACTAAGTTCTGTTCTTCGTAATCAGCCTTGCATAATGCCCTGTCCCAGTGTTCCCAAGGTCTGGTCTCCAAATATGCAGTGTTAGCATTGCCTGAAAACTTACCAGAGATACAGTCCTGGAGCCCAGCCTAGCCTTTCAGAATTAGAAGTGCCAGTCTACAGATTTAACAGTCTTCCGGGTGCCGATGGGATCCTGCTGCCCAGCACCAGCCTGCCTGTCCATCTTCAAAGCAGCCATTCACAGCTTTGAACACTCTGGGCCCAGTGTGGGAGACCAGTGGCCTTGAACGGGGCCAGCTCTGCCTGTTCACAACAACAGCCTTTACGACATGACTGCTATTCATGTCACCCCTGCACACACTTGCATAAACATCTTCCCTACCTGCATCACATTTGCAGTGTGGAGGAGAAGGATGAAGAGGAGGCTCCAGCCAGAATACCAGGGTTCAAGTCCCGGCCCTGCTCCTTATTTGCTGGTTGGTCTTGGACGGCTCCTGGATTTCTTCATGAATCCATTCCCTGCACCTCAAAAATGGGGATACTTCTAAGATATCTTTTACGAGGTGATTGTGAAAATTAAATGATTAAACTTATATAAAACACATAGACTCATAAAGGGCAGAGGGTAAGTGCTAGAAAGTCTTCCCTATTACTTCTATTGACATCCTGACATAGAGCTGCTGTCACTGATACTGACACCTCTATACCCGTTACCCATTGACAACCATACTTTGCCATTTCTGTCAACATCTGTATGCTGCCCACCTGTGCTAACACCCACTTGGTCTGTACCACCTGCCTGGAGGCACCTGCTCCCACCAGCTGCTGTCTGCACCCACATCCCTACAGACTCCACACTTCCTTGCCTTCCTATCAAATACACCCCAACCTCAACCCACTCCTCATGGCATCTATGTTCTGAAAAGAAAACCTCAAAGTAGAACCTGTCCCCATAAGGCCACCCAGGGACAGCCTAGACAGTGCAAGGGAACATCTCCCCCCTGAGATACCAACTGCCCTTCTGCCTGCATCCAGATGCCCTCAAAAACTGGAGGCCCTGAGAGGGTCCTTGTGGGTCCTGGTCAGGTAGGTATGGGAAGCATATGGCTGGCCCAGGATCTCCATATCCCCTGTATGTAAGGGCAAAAGGCTGCAATGCTGGGTGCGTATGGGCAGAAACAGGAGATCAGAATGCAAGGGAGGGAAGAACCTGAGGAAGTCTCTACCAGTCCAGGCCCTGCCCCAGCTGCCTGCTGCAGCTAGCTAATTAACAACTGTTTAGTTGATCTCTCACACCCTGGAGTGAAATCATTACTTTTCTTAATGATCTTGCTCATTAAACAACTTTGTTCTCCACTTCCACTTCCGCCTTCCTGATCCTGGAAAGAACAGTGTTAGCCTTCCCCTCCCAGAAGATCCCCTGCACTGCCAATCTCTGCCAGGGTCTCAACCCCATTCCCTAACTTGGCCCCCACCCACTCCCTGCATGGGTCCCATCTGCTATGAGTAATGAGGAAGATGGTGCTGTGTCCCCCACTGGATGGCAGACACAGTTGTTGGCAACAACATTGACACAAGCCATCAGTGGCCTGGCTATGGCCTGGCCAGTCCTGAAAGTCACCTAAAAACAGCCATGTGCTTGCAGCTGCTCAAGCAGCCTGCATCTCTACCCAAGTCCCTTCTCTGGCCACAGGCACCTGTTAAGCCTGTACATAGAAGACCTGGAGGTTCAAAGGTTTAGAACCCCAAAAATAACCAGCTGCAAGTAATAACCTTCCCCACTTTCCAGGTAACACATTAGGCCTCCTATCTCAGTCTCTCAAAGAACCCCAGTGGACCTGGGCCCCAACTGCCCTTTGTCCTCCCTTCTTTCCCTATCTTATTTTCCCCACTCACCCTCTGTGTTGCCCCTGAGGACCCCAACATCAATCCATTCCCACAGCATCTGCACACTGAGGGGCAATCTCCCAAATGGTTGACCCTGGATCTGCTTCCAGGAGTAAAAGTTCATGCCCACCCCAAACCTGAGGTCTCAGCCTAAGCTCCTGTTGCTAACAGACCATGGACAAATATGTGGCCACCCCTGAGAAGATGGGAGTACAGCTATGCCTGTGACCAGCACTCCTCCTCTAGGTGCTCAAGCCACGGACTCCTCACACGATACCTCCACCAGCTGCCCTTGAGCACATCATGGCAGGGATGCTTGCTACCAGCTCTGGGAGCCTTTCTGAGCTCCTCATGGCTCACACAGTCTCTGCTTCCAGCTCATCTGTCCTCCCTCCATCTTCATTCACCACATGGCTCGCTCTAAAACAAAAATATGATGCAACTCCTTCCTTCCTAAACCCTCCAGCAACTCACATCAGATTTAGCTGATCAACTCAGACACCAGCCCCCAGGCTGCCTCCCTCAGTGAATCCAGAGGCTGAGTGTTGGAGGCATTGAGGCCCAGGACTGCACTCATGTGTGGTGCAAATAGCACTACCATTATCCCCCTCACTTTATAGCAGGGAAAAATAAGGCGCAGACTGGCCCAGTCACCCTACAAGGACACAGAAGTAAAAGGGGTTGGATTTGAAGTTCAAAATCTCCTTCTTCACTTTTACCATATTCTTCTGCCTCCCTTGGGGGATGAAACTTATGCTCTAAACTTCCACTGATACGAAAGTGCTCCACCCTGACATTCTACTTGGGCCAAAGGAGCAATTCCAACCAACACCTATAGCAGCACCAAACTTGGTCCACCAATATCCCAGTGCTTTACAAACTCAAACTCATGGTGCTCTACAAGGTAGGTAGGTACCTATTCTAGTGTCATTTTGCAGATGTGGAAACAGGCAATAGCTTGCTCAAAGTC